TTTTTCTTATTTGCGATAAATTTACATGCAATGCAGAAAATTTAAGTTTATTTTTACATGGAGATATAGAAGACATAATTTTTGTTAAAAGAAATAATCTTTTTTTGCTATACAATTTTCATTTTGAAAAATAATGAATTACATTTTACATTTTGAGTAGAAACTATAATTTCCCAGTATATCTTGATATTTTCAATATTTCTCAAAATTTGAATTACATTTCTATAAAGTACTGCTACATGTGCCTTCAATTTTATTAGTTCATAGAAAATTGAGATTTCAATAATAATTGTGTGTGTATATCACAGAGTGGTATAAACTAAAAAATATTAATTTATTGAGTCAACGTATTTTTAAAAGATCATACGTATATTTTATCTTACAAGATGTAATATCTGTTGTATAATTTGTCTGTACATGTTTACAATGATGCTTAACTATACAAAAATATTTATATTGCTACTCTTTATAAATAGTAAACACAAAAAATAAATTAATTTAAAAATTATTTTACCACTTAAATTGTTGTGAAATCAAAATAATGAAATCAAACAATTCTTCAATTACCTATACGATTATATTAATGTACTAAATAATGAAAATTAACTAAAAATAGTTACAAAGAATAGTTTATTTTCAAATAGAAATTTTTGAATTTAATAAAAGTAATAAGTTTTCATTAATATTTAATTGTTTAATTTAAGTATCTAGACTATTATTCAAATTTTGTTTCATATAAGTGACACTAATATAATGTGATGTATTTAATTAAGTGATTACTAAAATCCTGTTCATGAATAAAAGATCTTTAATAAAAATAAATTTTAGAAATATTAGTTTTATTAATTTTGTTTAAAAATTACGATAATGATCTATACGAAATAAAAATTCATTTATTTAGTAAAACTGCTCATCTATGAATTTCAAATTTACCGCTAAAAAATATTCAAGATATCGATCATAGTGAATTTGTATATATATTGCTATCGTTCATGTGCTTCCTATAATGTGTATGATATTATTGCTGTCTACAATTGCTGTTATACTAAAGTATCACGTTTAAAATGTAACAAGTTGATAGAAAAGTTATAAATTTTATAAAAATAAAACTGGCATTAAAATAGTTTATATTCAATGTCATGACAAATAAGAATAAACAGTTAAAAATATTTTATTAACTTTTAAATATTGTCATAAAATTCAGTCTCCTACTATTTTGTATTTGTGGGTATTATATGCTCGATCATTTTTAATAAATTTTAAATTTATACATGATATAATATATTAATAAATATTAATAAATATTAATAAATATTAATAAAACCAACAGATTAACTATGAAGAAATTATTTTCTGTGATCACAGTGTACAATATCTGTGAAATATATTAATAGTTATTTAAATAATAAAGATGTACCTCAATTAAACAATTTTGTAAACATAATATAATAAACAAAGCCTTCTCAATATTTTTACACGAAGGAAAAATAATATAAACATTAATAAAATTAAGGAGTACTATATGCCAAATATATAAAATAATAAAAATTATTCAAACAAATATTACCAAAATGTATAATAATCTGAAATATATTTCTTAAATATATTTAATTTAATAT